TCATTTTAGAGTGTAATTTTCCCGAAATCGCTTTTGATTAAATGACAAATTTAAAAGAATAAGTAATACCCGCCCAACTAAAATCAAATTATGAACAAAAATAAATAATACAACTTTACTCTAGATTAATCAATTCCCAACCAACTGCCCAACGACAACACATACCAATATAAAAAATAAAATAAATATACCGGGTGGATGAAAAGCGACTAGACAGTGACCTTTTTTTTAATCAACATGATTAACACTTTTCCACCTATTAATAATCGCAATAAATTAAAAATTGTAATGATTCTTAGTTTATTGCGATGATTACTAGATGGTAAAATGAAAACCATGTCGATTAAAAAAAGGTCACTGTCTAGTTGCTTTTCACCCACCCGGTGTAATAATCATAATTATAATAACCGATCATTACGTGAATTTTATGCATATCACATACGTACATACCACTACAAAATGTAACTTATTTAAATGAAAAAAATTAAAATCGAACCCACCAAAAAACCAAAGAAAAAAAAAAAAAAACACTAAACACATTTAAATATATCACTTTCTGGTTTTGGCGCGACACCGACGCGTCGCGCAGCTACCCTAATGGTATGAATGTGATTTTATCAACTGCACCATACTGATCTGCTAATATAATTCTTTTAATATAGTAACAGACTAGTATAGTACGTTTTTTAAATACGCATAAACTATACCATACTATATATTGTGATAATTTATAAAGCAAGGCTAGTATGGTACGATTTTTAAAGCGAAACCATACCATACCATTTTGATGTTATATAATAAGCAGATCAGTATGGTACGGTTTGATAAAAATGGATCCGTACCAGACTGATCCAGTCAGTCGTACCATACTGATCTTCGTAAAACCTCATACTGATCTGCGAATATAGTTTTTTAATATAGTAACAGACTAGTATGGTACAAATTTTAAATATGTATAAACTATACCATACTAGGTATTACAATAATTTATAAAGCAAGACTAGTATGGTACGATTCGTATAGGGAAACCATACCATACCATTTTGATATTATAATATAAGCAGATCAGTATGGTACGGTTTGATAAAATTGGATCCGTACCAGACTGATCTGGTCAGTCGTACCATACTGATCTTCGTATGACCTCTGCTAAATTTCAGAATCCATACTATGCTGATCCGGTGTAATCTATATTAGCGTTAGGTTAGGAATTCTAGCTGATCAGTATTAGTATAGATTTTAAATTCTGCCTATACTATACGGATTTGCTCACCTATGCCATACTGATCTGCTATAATTCCAATTAATTGATTTTTAAAAAAGAACAAATTGTAAATGGGTCAAATATCTAAATAATTAAATCAATCATTTTGTTATACCTTCAAAGATTCATACATCATTATCAATAGATTTAGTATGAAAGGGAAAAAAAGTATGATTATGATTTTTTTAACTAAAAAATGATATATATACGCATGTACCTTTCTCAATTAGCTTAAAAAATTGTCACCTCTTAAAGAAAATTATATCAATAACGATTCCATCATGCAACGTCTAACTTTTTTCATTCTTACTGTTATCTTTTGCTTAATGGGTATCGCACCTTTTGTACCACGAACTGAAGGTAATGATTTTTAAATACCGTATTTTACCGATAATAAGCACCCCCTCGGAAGAATTTTCATAACAAAAATTCTTCCGAGGGGGTGCTTATTGTTGGTAAAATACGATATATATTAAATTGGTTTGTTTTTTATATAACAATTTAATTTATTTGCTTGATATATAATAGCATTCGAGGTTCTAATCTTGCCACTCTTTATAAATGGTAAGAAGGTCTTAAATTTAATGATTAAATTTATGAAAATTGTGTATTAATCGGTCTTTTTTTTTTTTTTTTTTTACAGATTATGATGTTTGTAGTGTTTGGATGGAAGATCAGAATGATAATTTCATAACCTATATACCTCAAGGTCTAAATAATCATGATGATTATTATAAATTCTATTGTGGTCGTCATATGCCCCAATATGGTGATTCAGGAGTAACTCGTCAAAATGAAGTTATAACTTTGCAAACTTTAGACAGTACTACAACATATATAATTAATTATCGTACTCAACAAGATACTAATTATTGGTATTATATTGAAAAAGATTATACATATGATACGTGTTTGGTATTTATGGGTTCCGATCACAATTCTTATGAAGTTAAAGAATTAAGTTACGAAGGATGTAAATCCCTAAGAGATGGTCCAAGCCAAAGTGATGATCAAAATGTTGATAAAGATGCTTCAAATAGTATTGCCGTAAAAAGTGTTACTGTAAAAAGTGTTCAGTTGTAAAATATTCATTTAAGTTAATAATGAATTTAAGTTTAATACCAAGAGGAAAAAATAATTGTTAATATTGCATTTTGCATGTTCGAATATATTATCCTTTAAACCGTCTAGCAGGCATATTTGCCTGCTAAAATGATTTTAAATTTTTTTAAAATTTATTTAATCTTATCTATTAAATAAAACTAGTTCAGATGCTTGCCTTCGGCTCGCATATTTTATATAAAGTAGGTTAAACTATCCCTTAAACCGTTTCTCGTACAAATTTGTACTGAATTTTTTTTAAAAGGTTATTTTTAAAATAAAATTTTAAATATTAATTTTAGCTATATAAACTAATTTTTTACTAATAAAATGTGTCTTTACGTTCTAAGTAAACTTGTTTAGCATTAAATAAAAACTACATTATTATGGTATATGTTTGCTTTACATTTCTTAATCTATAAATTAAGATATGTAAAATTGTATTTTTGATGAAAATTTATCAAATTTACACATTTTCACTTTGCAAATCAAGAAAAGTAAAGAAAACGTATGCCGTAATGATGTATTTTTTGGTGCTAAACAAGTTTACTTAGAACGTAAAGCTTATTTTATTAGTAAAATTTTAGTTTATGATAATTTTTTATATTTTTATTAATAAAAATATAGAAAATCTTGTATCACTCAAAATATTACTAATAAAGTATGACTTTGAGCTCTAAGTAAACTTGTTCAACCAAAAAATACATTATTATAGCATATATTTGTATCTTATATAAGTTTATTAAAGGTTCAAAATAATAATTAATTAGTAAAACTATATATACAGTATATAATATTAATTATATATATTATATATGTGTAATATAAGATATCCGGCTGACCCTTCTAGGATATTACATAATATCTGTCACAGCCCTTACTGTTATTTTTTATTAGTTCACAAATGTCGATTTAAATACTAGTTTTTGGGTATTTTCACTTTTTTTGCTTTTTTTCTTCTTTCGCATATGTTTAGATTCTATGTTAGGCTGATCCATAATACCTGAAATTTGTGTTCTTTGATTGGTCATTTCCTTTTTAGAGATTTGTATTACTGGCGCAAATAAGTGGATACATATTAACTATTTTAAACTATTGCAATAATATGCTACTTTGTGTAGTAATGATATATCAATTATATAATTACTTTATGAAAAATGCAGTATAAATTAAAAATATTGTTATATTGTTTTCTAATTTAAAACCTTTTATAACTAAGCTAAATCACACTAACTTATTATTTTAGTTTCTTTGTTGACTAAAAAAAACCTCTAAGAATTTGCCAATTCGATAAATATTACATAATGCCTTGTGTTGGAATAATTTAGAGTTGGACTAGCAATTGTTGATATAGAATCACATTTTTTCCATAATTCTCAACTTATACTATATTTGGTTAGTATTACTCTTGTGGCTTATCTTAAACTACCGTGTACTTCTTGGTCTTTACTAATGCTCCAAATTAGGTTAGATTAACCCAAAACCTGACCTGAAAATTCAGGTCAGGTCAGATTCAGGCTAGAAATATCTGACCCGAAAATTATCCAATTTATAGATGTATAAAATTGGCATTTTATACTATTTATTTGGTTTTAATAGCAAATATATATATATTTAAATAATATTTTAAGGGTTAGGGTTCCATAACCTAGTGGTCTAGGCTAGAGATGTGGTAGAATCGTCCCAATGATAGTCGTCACACTGCCGTAACTTGCTGTAACTATAGCAAGTAATATAGTAAGTTACGGCTATAATGCTATAACTTACTATATTACTTGCTATAGTTACAGCAAGTTATGGCAGTGTGATGACATCATTGGGACGATTCTACCGCATCTCTAGTCTAGGCGCCTAATCCTCCACAGATGAGATTAACGGTTCGATTATAGCTGGTAGTAATTAATTTAATTAATTATCTCTGTAACCTATGGAGCTTTCGAATGTGAAACCCTATAACAATAAAACCATGTGAAGTACTTATTTGGCCTATAAAGAATTCTTGGAAGGAGTCCCGAGCCATAGAGAAGACTAGGCACTATGTGTGACATAGCATCACGGAAAGTAATACCACATAAGGCTGTGCATGTAAATCCTCGATTGGCTAGGTAGCACCAATAACCCTAAGGCGGTCTTGGAGATCTTGATTGGGAGGACGGCTAAATGTAGTATATCTGGAAGTGGTGAGAGAAGCAGTGAATATAGTAAGGGGCTGTAGTAAGAGGATAGCTTTACCAAATAAAGGAACACCTCTGGCATACAAGATTGGAAATTAGAAAACTAATAAGGAAAACACTACATATCACAACATCGATGATAGGTGCCATACTGATACGCTATAAGTCAAGATTCCAGGTGCCCTTGCACCACCAAGCTGGAAGTAAAACGATCGTCAGTAGTACACCTATATAACATAGTTATAATGGGAAGTTTTGGCGCTCATGCTACAGTCAATCATACCAACTATAGAAGCATTGTATAAAGTAGGTGGTACACTGCTGATAACAACTGGAGATTCGATAAATCTAGCTGTGCCATAAGGTATCAATATATATAGAAGGCTATGTACACCAATATGGGAGCAAAAAGAGCAAAAAACCACCAGAATGAACCAATTTGGGAGAATTATAAGATTGCTGCAAAAAGAAGATAGAGGAGTGTAATAAGTATGAAAATAGGTAACAATAGAAAATCTTGTAATATAGTACGTAATTGAGATTAATTAGGAAGGTTGAAATTAAGATACGGATTGTGTTACAGCCGCACCCCAAAAGGTGGCGTGAGATACGAACACAATAGCAGCAATCAATATGTACTAATTGAAGGAAAATTACAGAAAATAATTACATGGTGGAACGTGTAATAGTAGGTTGCTCTAACCGATTCTAGCTTGAAGTTGGCTTGAAATAGTTAATGGAAAAGTAATATAGGAAAATAAGGAGTATAATGCCACATTGGGTGACTAGTAATAGTAGCACAAATGTAATTAGAAACTGTATATCAATTGCTCTGTAAAAAGGTGTAAATCATGACTAATAAAGTTTCTACGTTTGGCAATATAAAAAAAAAAAATAATAATAATAATATTTTAAATAAAATAGTCAAGTATGCAAGATTGGCATTCAATTTTTAATTGGTTAATAGCTGCAGATTTGCAAATTTTGCCAACATTACATAATTGTTTACTAATTTCTGGTTATAATTGATTTTTGATTCTTTTTCATTACAGAAATAGAAATTTTTGAAAACATTATAGTAAATTTGACCCAGAAACAATTTTTACTTAATAGACTCTGTGGTTATATTAGTAGAATTCTGAGTAATTCTGTTCAATTTTTTTTTTATCACTCTTAGCTAATTAAAATTGATGAAAATCACAATTTTTAAGAAACTGTCAATACATAATTTGAAATTTTGACTATGAAACCATATTCTGACTCTAATATAAAAAATTCTAATTTCTAATCTTACTTTAACATATATTTTTTACTTTAAATTATTACACATATTGAAATTAGTTTGATTCATTGAAGAGATCTGATTGGTGCATATTTGTTAATATCTCAAGCCAATGAAATTAAAAATCCTTGGTTATATACTTTTCTATTCTAATTGATCAAAGTTTGGAAAAACTTAACTGCTGACTTTGTTTTAACAGATGTCTAAATTCTTTAACTTCAAACAATAACCTTTTGACAGCAAATCAGTAAAGTTTTTTATATTAATTCCTTAAATCTATAGGATAATAATAAAAAAAACTTTTATTGTTTTTGAATATACAATATACAATCTTACTTTTGTAGCTCACTGAGTTTATAAGTATACACGTTTAGATTTGATTATCCAACTTTGATGATTATTGTTATATGAATTATTAAATGTTTAAGAGCAAAAAAGACTATTTGAATTCATTTATAAAAAAAATTTAATATATTAGGCCATGCAAAGTTGATTTTTGTTTTGCATTACATGGATTTAAAATTAGAGACAGATGGATAGATTTTTTTTTTTATAATTCAATTTACTGCAAATAGAATAATGATCACATTTTAGGTTATATTTGCACATAGGGTTCCTAGGTTCAGTTCAGTTCAAGTTCAGGTTCAATAAACCTGAATTGAACCTGAACCTGAACTACAAATTTTGCAGATTTTTGAACCTGAACCTGAACTGAACTTTGAATTTATGAACCTGAACTGAACCTGAACTTAAAGTTCAGGTTCATTCAG